CTCGCGCAACATAACTTCTCGGTTTTGCTCCAGAATGATCCATAATCTCCAAATTGGTCTCGAACGTGTATAAACCTGAAAAGACTCAAAAAGACTCTACAAATAACAAAAAGACTCTAAAAACAATACATATATCATGGTTAAAAACGGTAAAATCCATGATATATCACAATCTATTCCACTTCCACAAACCGATAAAGCATCTTTATTTGCAACCCATCAAGAAGCTTGCCGTAAAGATGTCGAGCGTGCTTTTGGAGTTTTGCAAGCTCGCTTTGCCATTGTCAAAAGCCGGCTCTTAGTTGGGATAAGGTAAAAATGGGAAATATTATGCGAGCATTTATAATACTTCACAATATGATAGTAGAAGACGAACGAGATGGGTATACTCAGTTTGATACTACCGAATTCAAACAAACGGAATCTGGAGAAAGTTCACGGGTGGATTTCGCCTATTCTACAGAAATGCCTTCAAATTTCTTCGATATGATGGCTACTAAAACTCGAATTCGTGATCGAGGTATGCATCAACAATTGAAGAAAGATTTGGTCAAACATATATGGACAAAATATTCCAGAAATCAAGTTAAAACAATTGTGTTTTATGTTATTTATATTATAAATTGTATCTCATGTATGTTTTAATTTTTTTAATTTACAACAATTATAAAATTTTCTATGATTATAAATTTTATTTTTATATTAATATTTTTTTCCTAAGAACCACATGTTAAGAACCTACCATTAATCACACATAAATATTAACTCGAAAATACTACTTCTTAACTATCACTTTAACAAATATATTACTTAAATATTCTTAAAATGTATTATTAAAAGCTATTGGATAATCATGCTAAAAGTATCATTTACGTGAGGAATAATATTGTCATTAAGAAAAAAAAATTATTAACTAATTAAGTCAAAAATCATGGAAGATTATCGGCAGAGAAAGAAACAGTCAAAAGACAAATTAAAAAGAATCTGTGGAAAATAAAACAGTCAAATGTTTTGTTTCATGACAACGAACGATTCTTCTTTTGTTTTCCATTCTTTGTGGAATACATTCAACAGCTTCAAGCTATATTATATAACAATTAGTAATTAATTAATATCTAGTAGACTTTTCATACAAATATACTAATCTTCTATAATCTTTTCGCCTATAAACTGTATATTTTTAGCAATAATTAAAGCATAAGTAATCCACCACCAAACAAAGTTCATTATCGAATTTGACAGGGAATATAAAAGAAAGAAAAAGTTTGATTCGTTTCGGATTTGAATGTCTTAATTTTGATTGGTTTTTCACTTTTGGCTGATTTTTTGAGAAAAAAAAGAAAGATAATTATCAACTAGATGAAGTGTTATGAGAACCCTATATAATTTTGGAGTTAATATATACATGAAGAAGAAGAAGTAAATTAATTAATATTGAAAACCTAAACAAGTTCACCTTATATATTATCAATGCGGTTTTGGAACACTGTAGACTAAATTCAGTCATAATTAAAGTTAGACTACAAACGACTGATAAGTTCAACCATTCTTGGAAATTATTTTGTAATTTGATTGGCATATAGAATTCAAATCATAGAAATAGTATAGAATTTTATAGCATATAGTTTTTGATTAATTACGATAATTCAAATAAAGCATACTCCAAAGATAGTATACATCTCAAAGTAAAAGTTATCCACTAAGCTCACTAACACCATATACAAGCCATTACAAAAGTCATTCATCTTTTTGCCATGACCAATCATATGAACATATGTAAATTTCAACCTTTTAATTTATTTATAATAAATACCAGAAGAAAAATGCAGTTTTTAGGAAACCACAACTAGTGGAAGAATCATTTCCTTTTTTTCATTAGTTTTTTTTTTATCTGTTATTTCTCTATAGATTTATTATTAAAAGAATCTTTTTCTTACAATGGTCATAATATTTTAAGATTAATTAGATAACCTAATTTTGATACTTATTAGGGAAATTGAGGCAGTGGTAAAAATCATAAATGAACAAATACCTTTTCTCATGTTTTTTAATTACGTAAAATAATATATCATTGAATAAAATAACATGTTATTTGTTTAAATACACATGAAAAAAAAATCTATTTACAAAAAAATGGCAAAATAAAATTTTATTTATTTATTATTTTGTCACCACATCAACCCTTTCTTAAACAAGTGCAAAAATTAGTAGGCTAATGTTTTGTTTTTCGTCATCTAACATCATCATATATATTTTGAGGAGGTAATTCCAATATGGTGCCCGCAGTTCGAGGGCTAGCGTTGGCCACTGCAGTATTCACATGGCGGCTGCAGACCTCCAAGAAACACACTAAGCGTTGGGCTCAGACGGCCTGAAAGAGAACCGGCCTCAAGCCTTGGTGCTAGTCGGGCCTCGGCCCGGATACCTGGGTTATCAAAAAAAATAATAATAATAACTCTATGACGTGCACCTTTCCCTGCAATACATGGATTTCCTACTTACGATTTTTATATGTATATCATACCAACAATGAACAGTCTTATCCCTAAAACTCGAGACCACGACGTATATGTAATTTCCGATTAGTCTTCCACATATTACAAGTAGGCTAGTGTATGTACCCATTAATTATTTTTACAATAGTTAAAATACATTTTTTTCCAAATTATTTATTTTGGGCCCAATCCTAAAAGCCCCAGGCCTGCTAACAAAAGATAGAACAAAAATAAAATAAAGAAATTCAACGTCGATTGTTGTTCGTCTCGCTTCTGCGCCGATTTCTTTCGCTCGAGAAACTCTCAGGTAAGCTTCTTCAATTTTTATGTTTAGATCAAATAGTTTCCTTCGCCTCCAAGGTTTGTGTCGATCTGAGATTAATTAAACCCTAATTTTCGATCTCGTAGAAACTTTACCTAGACTAGTAGGTGTTTATTTGAATCGCTATATCGCAGAAGCCCTAATTTCGTGAATCTCTCAGAACACAGTACATTGGTTTTAGGTTGATTGATATAGAGGAATGGATATTAGGCGGCGTGAAAGTAAGACGGAAGCAAGTAGTAGAGAGAAACGGATTTATGAGAAGGATCAGGTCACAATTTTCTCCATAACTGGTTTTTATACTCAAGTTATTATGTGTTTTTTGTTCTTTGATTTATGAATTCTGTGGTTTAAAATTGTTATAGATGAATCAAGAGTCTTTTATTGAGGGATTGGCTGAGGAGTTTCGATTACCGATTACTCATAGGGTTACTGAAAATGTTGATTTGGAGGATGTGGAGCAAGCTTCGTTAGATACCAAGATATCGTCGTCGAATGTCGGGTTTCGTCTTCTTCAGAAAATGGGTTGGAAAGGAAAAGGTCTTGGAAAGCAAGAGCAAGGTGTGTGTGTAGTCAGAATTCACAAACTGGTTAAATTAGAATTTTGTTTCATCTTTTGATATTGTGTTGATTTTTTTATGCTAAGGTATAACGGAGCCTATAAAGTCCGGTATCAGGGATAGAAGACTCGGGTTAGGAAAACAAGAAGAAGATGATTATTTCACTGCAGAGGAAAATATCCAGCGGAAGAAACTTGATAGTGAGATTGAGGAGACTGAGGAAATCGCAAAGAAACGGGAGGTATGCGCTCAAAACATATTTGGAAACGATGCCTTTAATTTTCGATACCCAAAAGAACAGAAAGCAGTGTGTATAGCGTATATCCGTTTGACGGGAATATCGTAAAGGAGAAAGAAACAAAAAACTGCTGTCTTTTATTACCTGGTTGGTGGCTTTCTACTGCCCGCTTCGTGCCCATTATGACAATCCAGGTCCTAGCAGAACGTGAGCAGAAGATCCAGAGCGATGTAAAAGAAATCCGTAAAGTCTTCTATTGTGAACTCTGCAGTAAACAGTATAGAACGGTGATGGAGTTTGAAGGTCACTTGAGCTCATACGATCACAACCATAAGAAGGTAAACAAATACTCTAATTCTCTTTGTCCTTGTTTTATAGCTTTTTCCAAGCTGAATACATCAAAGTATTGGTATTATGCAGCGATTCAAAGAAATGAAAGAAATGCACGGTGCAAGCAGCCGCGATGACAGAAAGAAGCGAGAGCAGCAACGTCAGGAGAGGGAGATGACTAAAATGTGCGCAAAACGTTTCTAGTACATCTTCTCTTTTACTTGTTTCGAAAGATTATGATGCATTGGACTTAAACCCAGATTTTTCTTTGACTTTTTAGGGCTGATGCTCGTAAACAACAGCAGATGCAACAGAACCAGCAAGAAATCCCAGAGAATGTCCCGGTTTCTACACCGGCTAAGACTATGGTTGCACCACTTGCTGTCCAAGATCAGCGAAAAACATTGAAGTTTGGCTTTTCTTCTAAAAGCGGCAGTATATCAAAGGTACGAAAACTCACAACACTACAAACTATATACGGGCCAAGCCTAATACAAGCCGGACTTAGTATAGCCGAGCAAAAAGCGGGCCAAGACGGTTAACCTACTTCAACATCCCTTACTCACTGATTACTAAAACTAGTTATCTCTTTCATCTTCGCAGAGCCAACCCACAAGCAGCACCAAGAAACCAAAAGTAGCAATCGCATCGGTTTTCGGCAACGATAGCGACGAAGAATAAGTTTTGCTACATCATGATTGTACTTCTATGTAATTCTACATGATGGCTCCTTCCACATATTTTAAAAACAGAACATAAAAAACTTTACATTTGTCTGAAAATTTGTGGTCATGTGTTTGTTTGTTAATCTTAAATAGAACCGTTAAAAAAGTAACCGTTGAGAGGTGTCAACACTCATCAGTATCCGTACAAAAAATTAAAGACCATTTAACACGTGAGTGAAGTTTGTTTGGTAGGTGACCATCCGAAACCACGCGCGAGTCACGTGACCCGCAACAACAAAAACCTCTTTTTGTCACAGTTTCCTAAGTCGTCGTGGCACCGCACTTTCACCACTTGTCTTTATCCTATTTTTATAATTATTAATCAAATCAAAATGAGAAAAAATCGAAAGCAACAAATTTTGCTTCTTCTTCTTCTTTCAAGCTCTCTCAATCAATGGCGTCGTCTCTATCTCCACCGGAAAAAGCTTCGTATCACCACCGTCACTCCTCCAAAAGATACTCCACCAACGGAAACGTCGAATCATCATCGGTTTCCGATTTCGTCAAACGACCGAAAATCTCTCCTCAGAATTACATATCTTGTTCCGAGATCGAGTCAGAGTTTTCTCATCATGATCCAGAATTTGCTAGAATCAACAACGGTAGCTTTGGTTGTTGTCCATCATCAATCCTCGCTTTACAACGAGATTGGCAACTCCGGTTCCTTCGTCAACCGGATCGATTCTATTTCGACGAACTCAAACCGAAAATCTCCGATTCTAGATCTGTAATCAAACGGTTAATCAACGCCGATCACGACGATGAAGTCTCAATCGTTGATAACGCCACAACTGCAGCTGCAATCGTTCTTCAACAAACCGCTTGGGCTTTTCGTGAAGGAAGGTTCGATAAAGGCGACGCGGTGGTTATGCTTCATTACGCTTATGGCTCTGTGAAGAAATCTGTTGAAGCGTATGTTACACGCTCCGGTGGACACGTCATCGAGGTACAGTTACCTTTTCCAGTTAACTCGGCGGATGAAATTATTGACCGGTTTAGGATTGGTTTAGAATCGGGTAAAGCGAATGGTAGGAGAGTTAGGTTAGCTTTGATTGATCATGTGACTTCTATGCCAAGTGTTGTGATTCCTATTAAAGAGCTTGTGAAGATTTGTAGAAGAGAAGGTGTTGACCAAGTTTTTGTTGATGCTGCTCATGGGATTGGTTGTGTTGATGTTGATATGAAGGAGATTGGTGCTGATTTCTATACGAGTAATCTTCATAAGTGGTTTTTCGCACCGCCTTCTGTTGCTTTCTTGTATTGTAGGAAATCGAGTAATGGTGGTGGTGGTGTTGCGGATTTGCATCATCCTGTTGTGTCGAATGAGTATGGGAACGGTTTGGCGGTTGAGAGTTCTTGGGTTGGAACTAGAGATTATAGTGCTCAGTTGGTGGTTCCTTCGATTTTGGAGTTTGTGAATCGGTTTGAAGGTGGGATTGATGGTATTAAGAAGAGGAATCATGAATCTGTGGTTGAGATGGGTCATATGTTGGTTAAGTCTTGGGGGACTCAGCTCGGTTGTCCGCCTGAGATGTGTGCGAGTATGATCATGGTCGGGTTGCCGGTGTATTTAGGAGTGTCGAGTGATTCAGATGTTTTGAAGCTTAGAACGTTTTTGAGAGAAAAGTTCAGAATTGAAATCCCGATCTACTTTAGGCCACCTGAGGACGGAGAGATTGATCCAATCACGGGATATGTGCGTATTTCTTTCCAAGTTTACAACAAACCTGAGGATTATCATAGGCTTAGGGACGCAATAAACGAACTTGTGAGAGATGGGTTCAGATGCGCATCTCTATCTAGTTGAATAAGGTACGCTTTTAGGTTATAGTAACCAATACCATATTTTGATTTTATAATAGTCGTTTCTTGCCAAAAAACCTGATCATTCTAGTTTCTCAACAATCATCATGTCCGATATTGTTCATTGCAGAACATTTACCTCCATAAATACATGACTAAATCTTGATTAGCATTTCATTTCTTTGTCTTTATCATCAACTTGGTCGCGGTGTTATTAGAAACGTGAAGGAGCATCTATATTGTTGGGTAACATTGTGTTTTTGTTTTCCTCTTAGTAAGCATTTGTGAGGCATTAGGAAATGATACTAAAAACATCGTAATACTAATGTTTCCATCATCGTTTCACTCATCTCTGTGTATTATGTATTAACCAGGGCATCAAGCTTTTCGGGCGAATGAATCATCCTAGAAGTTATCATGGTTTAGGTACCATGGAGCTTCATGAGATTTGGAAGAAGTGAAGTAACCTCTCGCTCTCTCAAGATAAACTTCTTTTACAGTAATGATGTATGAGAAAACTAAGTTTTCTTCTGTTTCCATTGAATCGCCTATTCAAAATCTCCCATTTACATAACATTAGCAGGTCGGTAATAAAGCACTATAGTTAGTGTTGTTGGTTTCGTAATTTGGTATCACGGTCTTAAAAATTCCCTAATTTGTTACGTGTAGTATGATATATTTCAAATGAAATCATTTGGTTTCGGCTCACTTAACGTTGACCTAACAATGTAATTCGTTTGGAAACATTTAAAACAGGGAAATATGTAAAAGCGTTTATTATTTGAACCGGGAACTTTTTCAACTAGTAAGTATCAGAATCGCGTTACTAAAACATACGGGAATAATTTATTTTGGTAGTTGTGTTGATTGAAATGATTCCCTAATCTCTCAGTCTCAGGTGCATCTTCGTTAACTCTAAACATCTGATCGAAACCTACCAAATTGTGGGTCCCAGTACAACTCAGATATACGTGATTGGGAAAACGGCCATTTTCAACCCCAACTATTTGGGGGCGGGTTTTTCCAACCCAAACTAAGACCCCCCGTCAATTTCTACCGAAACTCAAAACTAATTCAAATTCAAAACCTAAACTAATGAAAATTAGCCGATTTCAACACGACAGAAGACGGTGTTAGTTCGGGATTTAACGGCTGCTGAGTCAGCAATATCGTGGCATTGACGTGGCGGGAAAACGGCCATTTTCAACCCCAACTATTTGGGGGCGGGTTTTTCCAACCCAAACTAAGACCCCCCGTCAATTTCTACCCAAACTCAAAACTAATTTAAATTCAAAACCCAAGCTGCTGCTATATTCATGTAATCTTGTAGTTGGGTCGTGAGAGAAAAACTATTTATTTACCATGTGATGGATCTTGGGGTTGTATGATTTCTAAAACAATATGGTATTGTCTCCATTTGTGTCGAGTTGAAATTTTAATGAATGGCAGTGTGGTACCATAGCTTTAGAGTTCATGAATTGTTATGCATATTGAGATTTTTGTGAATTGTAGTGATGATGATTCAGGTCACGAGACTATAAACACAATTGATTTCAGACAAGTTTCCAGATAGAATGTATGTACAATGATTCCTCTGCAGGAAGAAAGACAAAATCTTTAGACGGACACATCAGGAACAAATTTTGCTTTTTCTTGCTATTGCTACATTTCTTTCAGATTCCGTTTACAGTGCCTGTGAATTCATAAAATCGACGAACATTTTTCTGTTTCGAGAGAAAATGAAGAACCCTAATTTTAAATTTTCCTCAAAATTAAAACGACGTCGTTTCGTCGTTTGAAGGGGAAAAAAATAAAACGTCGTCGTTTTCATTGACCAGAAGCCACGTCAGTGAAAACGACGTTTTATTTTTTCCCGCCCCCAAATAGTTTGGGTTGGAAAAACCCGCCCTCAAATAGTTGGGGTTGAAAATGGCCGTTTTCCCGCCACGTCAATGCCACGATATCGCTGACTCAGCAGCCGTTAAATCCCGAACTAACACCGTCTTCTGTCGTGTTGAAATCGGCTAATTTTCATTAGTTTAGGTTTTGAATTTGAATTAGTTTTGAGTTTGGATAGAAATTGACGGAAGGCCTTAGTTTGGGTTGGAAAAACCCGCTCCCAAATAGTTTGGGTTGAAAATGGCCGTTTTCCCCGTAACTCTAACGTGGCAAAAGGTATAAAATAATCAGTCTTATAAGTTATCCTAACATTAAAATATAGGGTGTGACTGGTGTGATTCAAGAAGAAAAGAGAAAAAAAATAAGAGAAGAAATGAGAAGAAAAGAAAATTAAATAGTAGAAGAAATTTGTATTTATGGGAGGTAATTTTTATACTGTAAAGTAGAAAAGCAAATAGTTGTTTCTACTGAAAAAGTAGAAGAATTGAGAAAAAATCTCTCTCTCTTATCGCATCTCTATCTTTGAGAGAGAGGGTGATTTCCGGTTCACCGGAATCTATCTCCGGCATCTGCCGTTCTTTTGCTTTGTAATATATTTTAGTTCCGGCTTTAGTCGGATTTCGTTTTCCGTTTTGTCGGACCTTTCTCCGGTTTATCCGGTTCCTCTTTCTACATGAATCCAATGAATTTCCTCTTGCGATCCTTTGATCTCCCCGTCCCACCGTCAGCTTGGCTTGAATCTTCTATCGGAGTAATATCTTCGCCGTTTATATGACTCTGTAGTCGGTGACCTTCCTTAGGTCTTAGGCGGAGCTTCCAATTAGGAGATCGGATTGAGATGTGAAGATTTTTCAAGTCTTCTTCAGGCTTCTCTCAGACGGATCCGGTGGACTTCATTCCGATCTGCAAAGGCGAAAATCTGTAGAAGGAGTGTGGTGGTGAATGTTGAAGCCGGCGGCGGCGCTGCGTCATCTCGTGGATTTGGCCGGCACCGACTGCTCCTTTTTCTCCTTCTTGCGTGTTAACACGTGGTGTTTCACGTGATACCTTTTATTCTTAATCTTTTACTTAATTTAGTTTAAGATTAAGCAGTTTTTATGTTAATCAAGGTTGTATATGTTGGGGAATGGGCTTCTGTTCACTGCTTTGTACTGCCCATTGGGCTTCCATCTTAATGGATTTGGCCGACAAAAAAAAAAAAAAATGTAGAAGAATTGAGAATAAAAAGTTTAATTTGGTTGGTGAACAAATTCTTCCGAGAAATGACAGAGTAACTGAGAAGAATTATTTTTCTTTCCAATTCTTTTCCTCTATTTATATGATAGGAACCAAAGCCTTAGCTTTAGCTCTTGTTATCGGACCGTTGCTTAAGCTTAAAGAACAAAGAGATTTAAAGCTAGCTTCCTCTTAACCCTAAGCTCTCTTGGAGATTAAGGTTAATTCTTGGAAGTTTAGTTCTCATTAGCATAAAAACCTATATTTATATAGGTCATGATACAACTTAGATTCTAACCCAAACGTAGAAAGGAAATTATGAAAACCAAACTCATAAAGTAAACCACCAAAACTAATTAATTAAAATGTCCTAACCGGTGGCCTAATCAACCTAACCGTAGTCTCGTATCATTATAACAACCAGTCACACCCATAGAGAAAGGAATCCTAGAATCACCAAAAAAAAAAAAAAGAATCATCAATGTTGATTCTGAGCATTACTCAGAGAATTTATCTCTATCCCCAGTCTATGAAGGGAAGCTGAGGATAGCCTTGCTCAGGAGGCGGTTTCAGAGATGGCGGAAGATCAAACCAACCAGCTCCTGGTCTCCCACTAACATAATCACCTGTTTTAGACAATTAAAACTTCCAACATCAAATTTCTAAGTTTAAAAAGATTTGACAGAAGCTGAATAGCTAAAAACAAGGACGCATACGGTTTAAAGTACTTCCTTCGATGTGTTGGTTAAGCATGTCAACATGAAGTTGTGTATTATTTGCAAATCCTGCATTTGAATTCAAAAGAAGGATGATGTTTAAAGCAAACACAAGACAGAATCTAGGATTGCATATAGTAGAGACTTCTTTAAAGCTTAAGCAGAGCCTAAAAGAGACCAAATCACAGATCTAAAGCAAACACAAGACAGAATCTAGAATTGCATATAGTAGAGACTTCTTTAAAGCTTTAAGCAGAGCCTAAAAGAGACCAAATCACAGATCTAAAGCAAAACTGGTTCAATTTTTGTCCTAACCTGTGCTTCCTGGATTGTTCTTAGGGTGAAAGTATCTGCAAGAATCTCCGAATGGACAAAAATTCTGCAAAACCCATTAAGACAGGACCAGACTTTACACACATATGCAATGATATTTTTTGCCAGAATCAAAATTAGTACAAAACCAACAAACAAATCAATGTAAAATGTGTGATTCAACAAGAAAATCAACGAAAGGACAAGACTTTACACATCTAGAGATTGGTAGGAAGATGATGTACAGAGCAAAAACTCAATGCAACGTACCGAGGTAATGAATCGATTGCACAGACCCTTCGTCGCAAAATTGGAGACTTGTGGATTAATAAGATCTAACAATTTCGTTTTAAAGAAACAGAGATGTTAAAAATCGTTCCTTTTAGAAACATAAGCGAAACAGAGAGAAAGAGAGAAGAGATAGACCTGAGGAAGAAGAACTGTACCAAAGGGCTTTAGCTCGAAGATGAGGTTTGCTTTGAAGATGGCGTTTTCTAGCTACTTGAGTGTCTTGAAACTCTTTGTCGCAGTAATCACAGTAATATTTCCCCGACGGCATCTTTCTGGCGATGAAGACGACTCGTAGTATCAAAAAGTTTAGGCTTTTATTAGTTTATGAGCCAGAGGCTTCTTGTATTGGCTACCGTGACTTTAAGGGTCTTTGTTGAATGTTGCAGAGGAAGAAGAAAATACACCAGAAGCAGAAGAAGCAAACTCTTTTATCTTAGATAAAAATTCTTGGTGGGCTTTTACATTATAGCCAACCAAACCATAGTAATAAGTAATAACTCTTTTTTTCTCTACTCATACAACAAACAAAGGATACATATCAGATTGTAACATATTGATACATAGAGAGGGTGAGAGGGAGAGAGGAAGATTATAGAAGTGTGTTCATGCTACATTTTAGGGTTTTAAGGAAATCACAAACCGAGCCAAGGACACTGCTTCCTTGCATGCTCAGGTACTAACTTAGCTACCATCTCCACTGGTACACCTTTCAGCTCTGTTTCACAACAATCACAGTAGTAAAGCAAAACTTCGATGATTTTATAGGTAAGTTTGAGCTAAACACCATTAGGAAAGGAAGATGTTGTACCGTGAGGCTTGAAGTTGAAAAGTGGTGGAAGGAAACGTCCATTAGGTAGACGTGCGTTTGGGTCTCTTAGCTCATCAAAGAATGGGTGGACCAATGTGTCGAGCTGTGATCAGATGTACAAATGCAAGTCAGAAAACAGAAAACTGAGAAACGAAAGGACCATCAAGAAGATTTACAGAAGAATGTTGACTTGTAAGTAATACTCACAGCGGCACTTCGTAGATTAGGAGAGTATTGAAGAAGTCTTGAGACCAAGTCAACAGCTTCTGGAGGCATGCGTTTGTGGAAAATCTGTGAATATATGATGAGAAGATTTTGTCACATTGACTATTGACTGTAACTGTTACTGAAGAAGACATTAAACATGTTGATTTGATGTATATAAGTTTAATTATACCTTGTGCCATGGATGAGCTTTAATCTGAGGGAATTTGAATTCTGTGTAGTTGGGGTTCATACACTTGATTTCTTCCCTAGTAGGCGTTCCCAAGACCTACCCCAAAGCATAACAAAAAACATTACATCAAATCTTCTATCAAAATTATTGAAAACAAGAACTTGGAACAAGTGCAAGGCTAATTAATACCTTGATAATCTCTACAAGTTGATCAACACCGCTCTCACCAGGGAACAAAGGCTGCCATGAGCAGAGAATAGAGTTTGTCAATCACAATATTCTAGTTTAAGCAGAACAAAATATGTTTGAATGAGATTTTAATGCAATACCTGTCCAAGTAATAGTTCAGCTAGAACACATCCCGCAGACCAGACATCAATGGCTGTCGTATACTCAGTTGCTCCAAAAATAAGTTCAGGTGCTCTGTAATACCTCGAGCAGATGTAGGAGATGTTTGGTTCTCCTTTTACCTGTTTTCAGAAGTTACAATGATCAACAAGATTGAATATAGCTTTTACCAAGAAAAAATGTACCCAGAAGAGATTTATCGAACTCACCAATACTTTTGCACTTCCAAAATCACATAGTTTTACTTGATGGGTGTGTGGATTTACCTGTTCCATCAAAGATCAAAAAAGTAGCATTAAACATTGAAGACAAGTAAACATCAGGGTATACTGTGAGTTCTGGTTTATTAAGCTTTTTCATACCAACAAGTTTTGAGGCTTTATGTCACGATGACACACACCAATACACCGGTGAATGTAAGATAATGCCCTAAAAATCTGCCAAACATAGAAGAAACAGATAAGTGATCCAAAAAAAAAACTCTTAAACCTAACAAAAATGCAATAATCGATACCTGATAAGTGTAAAGCTTGACGTATATGAGAGGCATTCTCTGGTTCAGTTTGTTATAGTGTTTGATAACACGATGCACGGTTTCTGGGACGTATTCAAGAACAAGATTGAGGTAAAGCTCATCTTTTTCAGTGGTTGAAAAGAAGCAGTGTTTCAAAGACACAACATTAGGATGGTCAAGTAGCCTCATGGTTTGAAGCTCACGATTCTTGTACCTCCTATCTTGTAAAACTTTCTTTATCGCAACAGTTTCTCCCGTCTCAAGACATTTCGCCTAAATCATATAAGAAAATAAAGTAATCCAACTCAGTCAATTGATTGAGACATTTTCATGGAGAGAGCTAGAGATAAGCGAACAAAACTCACTTGGAACACAACACCAAAAGATCCGTGTCCAACAACGCGTTCAGCCATGTAGCTAATTGTCTGCAATTAATAAAACATGAAACTCTAACCAATCAACTAACTTAAGAAGATCATAAAGAACAGTTTTTGCAAATGTCAGAAGATGCAAAAACCTGTTTTGGTTGGCCATTTCTTCCACCAATGGTAGTCACAATGATGTGTCCAGTCTCTGTTCCATTTCCATCTACCACTGTCGCTTCCATTTCCTAACAATCACAACCCATTTTAGATTTCTTGAAAACATACCAAAAACTATAATACAAGGCATCAAAACATACTTTATCGTCACGAATTTTCATGTCATTCATTTCTTCAGGTAATTTATCAACACCAATAGCATGTGTAGTAGAGTCTCTTGCCCCAGGATTAGGAGCTATCCCCACTGATGCCATTTTTCAAGCTACAAAAATAGTTTCTTTCTTTATCTCAACTCTTCAAAATCTCAAGGCTGCAACAATAACCACAGATATGAGTCCACTGTGTAAAATTTGTAGCTTTACTAAATTAGTTCATAGCAGAAAACAATACAAAATTTATAAATTCAATTTTAACAACAAAAAAAAATCTTTCTTATAAAATTAAAAATCTGATTTACGAAATTAAGTAAAGAAAAACAAGTTTTTTTTACCAATTGTTTTTTTTTATTCAACACATTTTAGAAACTAAAATTACGAAATAGGAAAGGGGTTTTAACGGTTAAAAAAATTATATTCTATGCCAAAAAAAAATGCAAATTCAAAAGACCCAAACATTAAAGTAAGAAGATTTAGACCACTAAACCCAAATTAAGTTCGTTGGAGAAAAAAAATCAACCAATCAAAATCCAGTGATGTATCCGAGTGCATAGAAAGCAGATCTGAAGCTAAAACACATAAATTTTTTGGTAGTTCCAAATAAAAACCAAAACCCAGAATTTGAGATGAGAAATTTGAAGAAAAAGGAGAGATCTTTAAACTTACGGAAGAAAACCTAAAATCTCAGATCGAGGAAGATGAATTAGGATACGAAGAGAGAGATCCGTACGATTAAGGATTTGTGGGTTTGATGATGATGATGATGATGATGAATCTCTCGCTCTCTCTCTCTCTCTTTTTTTTTTTTTTCCGGTGAGACGAATTTTTTATTTTTTTATTTTATTATTGTGTGTTTTTCGTCGTTAATATCTTCTCTATATAGCTGGCTTCTCGTGGAGACAATTTTATTATTACTATATTGTAAAATTTAAAAATATTGATACAGTCCATGAATCGTACAAATGGGACTCTTCGAAGTTAGTAATAAGAATTTTAAAAAGTTACATTGGTTTTTGGTTCTTTTTGAGTTTTGACCATTCAAACTTTCTTTTTTTCTTCCCAACACAAAAGATAAAAGTTATGGAAAATACACATAGAACCCATTATCTTAATGCGATAAACCATCATATGTTCTTTGAATTTTCCTTTAGTTAAAAAAAAAAAAACTCAATAAATGAGGTTAATTTTGACTTTTAAAATGTGTATAACCTATAGTTTTAATACGAAAGAGACCAGAAGCTGAAAATGGGCCGTTGGGTCAAACGTGTCGGAGAGGAGAGAAAAGAAAATAATCAACGACCATTTCTTTTTTATAAGGTGAGGTGAGAGACCCTATCTATCTAGAGTAACCTATCTCAATAATTCATCCAATTATTGGATTTTATCCCTACTACATTTAATTATATGTTTGGAAAAACATTATGGACAATTCTTTATTCCATGAATATTCATACATAAACAAACACACAAGAGGATGTTAATTTAATGTGGAACCAAGGTTTTTTATATAACTAACAAGAGATTCTGGTTAGGAATTGTGTTGATGAATTTTTTTTTTAATTCTAAAAGTTCAAAATCCGAAGCCAAGTAAAATTTGGAAAATCCTTTTAATTTCAAATAAATGAAAATTCTTTTTACTATTTTTCTGATCAGGAGATACAGATTTTGTAAAACATTACTTAGTCAATCATAATTTTTTCCTCGTATACGTAGAAAAACGCCCTCTAGAATCACAATCTACTAGAATATGTCTTAGTCAAAGAAAATTTGAAATTTCAATTCAAACTCATTAACTACTACTTCAAAAAAGAAATATCAATAATTTTTTGGTAAGAAATTTTACTAAAGGAACAACACAACGTCTCGAACCCATTTAATCATATATCAAAATGCAACAAATCTTTGTTCAAAGTAAAAACCAAGCTAAGCATGACTTCAACATCTTTCATACACTCAAAACAATGGCTTCAAAGGGATGAGATGGGAAAGAGAACTCGTCTCCAAGGTAGCGAACATTCTTTGCAAGAAGATTTAGGTTATTGTGCTTGTGCGTAAGGTGAAATGGTTGGATTTGGGCTTTATAATAGTTGGGGTTCACTTAATTTTGCAAGGTAGATATTTTTGGTTTATTTGGCCCTCTTCGTTTGCCTATTTAAGGCGACAGCGACCAAAAGTTGTTCGTTTATTTTTCACTAGATCCAGCGACCAATCGCTTAAACTTAATTTAATCAAAATTTAATCTAGTTAAACTTAATTAAAAATATAACTAAATAAATTAATTAATTAATTTTAAATTGTTAATCTAATTAAATTAATTATAAACAAATTAAATTTTTAAAAAATAAAGTAGATAAAAACATTAAATTAATTATTTTTAATAATGTATATGTATTTATATTTTTATTTAAAAATATAAATTATCATAAATTAATATTTTACATTTTTTTAAAAAATATAGCGATAGACAGATGAACAACACAGCAAAAAACAAACGAACAACACGATGTCGCTGAAATCTGTCGATGTCGCTGGATTCAGCGACAGGCAAACAAACATAGCCCAGTTTAGTGCTTAATGGGTTTCAAAAGGGGCAAAAGAAGAACAACCGGAGGTTCTAACGTGTCTTCTCTTTTTACATCAAAGATTATAGTAGATACATCTTAGTGATAGTAGATACATCTAAACTACAACAATTTGGGAAAATCTTAGTTGGGAGTTAAAGAGCATTGAAGTCAATTATTTCTTTTGTATTATGTAATAATAATAAAAATGAAAATAATAATAATAATAATAATAATAATAATAATAATAATAATAATAATAATAATAATAATAATAATAATAATAATAATAATAATAATAATAATAATAATAATAATAATAATAATAATAATAATAATAATAATAATAATAATAATAATAATAATAATAATAATAATAATAATAATAATAATAATAATAATGTTATGGAAGTGTTGGATTCATATCTTATTTATATAAAACTTGATTTCAAAAGTTGCTCACTCACATGATCGCAATACGTATCATATCTATTAATTAGAGATTTTGCCATGTGTAAAATAACGCAATGGACAGTAGATAATCAATTCACCTAATGACTAAAAACATTTAAATGTGTATAATAGAGTATAAATATAGAAGTTATCAAAATGTTTGCTATAAAAATTGAAAGTTTTGGAAACAAACAAATTTTTACGTTAATTAAGTTATGAGCATCCAATTAATTATATAAGATAAATACAATTAATATGTAGTTTTTATCTAACATAGAAAAAGTTATATTTTTACTTATTTTGTGCTTATTTTTTGCTTGATCTTTTTCTGTCAAATTTTTTGTTGTTTTTGTTTAATTGTTTTTACTCAATTTTAAATTGATTATAATAAATGTAATCAAAGATAATTTAACAATGAATCTTTTAAATTAATTTGATGTTTTTTTAATAATATTCGATATATTTATATGGTCATTGGACTCAACGTTTTTCTTTTTCTTTTTGATAAAACATTAACGTTTTTCTTCATCTATCACAAGAAAGGTCTTGGCGGTTTTTTCCGCCTAGTTGGTTTGGGCTATATTACTAATTACCTTTGCTCTCTAAGTACCTTTGCACGTGGTTCTCTTCCAGCTCCGTGAGCAAAGACGGCACTCTCATCCAAACTGGTGGGTGAGTGGTGACGGAGATGGAGAGCGGGGAGTAAATGTTCACTCCTTGCTTTGACCGTAAATGCCTCAAACGCCATTGTACCCGACAACAAAGGCCTCAGACGTTATTAAACCCGATAACGGTCAAATGGTGATTGAGGTTATTTCTTACTACTGTTTTGGACAAAAAATATGGATTTTGTAAAACATTACTTTAGTCAATCAAAATTTTCTTCTCGTATGCATAGAAATGCATGAAACACACTGTCCAAAATCAAAATCTTAGACCAAAACATGTCTTAGTCAAAGAAAATTTGACATTTCAATTCAAACTCATTAACTACGACTTCAAAAAAAAATATCAATAATTTTCGTATAAGAAAGTTTACAAAAAGGACAACCCAACGTCTCTGACCCATTTATCATATATCGAATGCAACAAATCTTTGTTCTAAGTAAAAAAAAAAAAAGCAAGCCAAACATGACTTCCAGATCTTTCATACATTCAAAAACAATGGTTTCAAAATTATAGAATCCTCTATTTTCATATATCTAAAGTTGATTTCTTCTTCCAATAAACCGTAAACCGGGTTTCGTCTACGCCCCGCTTCGGGTAGCAAACTGAGGAACACGGCCAAGTGGTAATAGGATATCCTTCATTGTCTCATACTCTTCATTTCCGATTCCACTTCCTTCCAAAATCTGATATTTTTCACCAACATAATCAATAGATTAAATTCACTTAAGCTTTCACCTTTTATTATGTTAAAGTTGACTGTAACTAACCTTGCTTCTGTTGGACATAAAAGGTGCAATCCGAGGGATACGTGATACAGACAACGCGTCCAAGAAAAGAAGAACAATCACTAGCCATTCTTTAATCTTAAATGATGGAACTGCCCCTGTCAACGACATTGTCTCCAACAAGCTTCCCTGCTCAACAACAAATCATAACCAATATCACTGAGAACTATATATAAACTTCCCAGCATAAGTTTGAGACAAGATTCTCAAGAGGAACTTGATAAAGAGTTTATATTTTCAAAAATGATTCCATACTTATATACTAAGGTTTCGTTCTAGGAGTACTTGCTACATTTTACAAAGATAGATGGGAACAAATCACTAATTTGACTAGGATGGGCTATTTGGTTTATTACTTATTAGTAGACTGATAACAGACTACAGACTCTTGAGAAGGAAAAAGTTGGAAAAGTACCAGTCCCTTTTCTAACTCGGATATTGCTATTGGCAGCCTGAGATAAGTGGTGACTCTAGGTAAAGCTCTGGCAAGACACCCAGCCATTGTCTCCTTGATCTCTGAGGAAAGCCCGTCTCCCAGGATAATCCTCCGGGGGTACTCCTTCCCGTTAACTGATATGAACTCCTCATGAGCAGATTCTTCCTTCCCATATATGTATGCCAGAGAGGACGACGATACCCAGCCAAACAGTGAATCCCACATCACAGCAAAATTTGATAACTGAGGAAGGAGGAGGACCAGTGAGTTTAGTTCAACACAGTCCTAATGGGTGAGTATATTTAAATGCTTATGAGACTTACTGTGAGATTGAAGCCCTCTGGGGGTCCATCAAACCAAGATTGATCACGGTCAAACAAATCAGAATCTGGAATCCCAGGCTTATTTGGCCACTTGAGAAGAGTTGGTTCCTCTTCAGTCATTTCCTCCTCGCTATGTTCCTCTTCAGTCATTTCCTCCTCGCTATGTTCCTCAGTAACCTCTTCGTCAAGTTGATGTGTGCTTGGCAACAAAACGATTCCAGCTTCCGCAGCTATATAAAACATGTCAAAGCGCAAAATTTAGGAATTTATGCAAGTCCACTACATATGGACATCCAAAGTATCATAGCATAATTAAAACCTCCTATGAACTTACTGGCATCACTTGCATCTGAATCTCCCGAAGAAACAGCTTCGGCAGCCTGGCTCAATGCCGTAGCACAGGCTTCTGCTAATGCAAGGCGTGATAAACTATTGACATCCTCTGTATCAGTAGAAGGCAGGCTAGGAGCTGCTGTGATATCATGGTTTTTAACCTCACAAAGATCACCACGGCCATCATTCTGATCGGCCCAAGTAACTGAACGACTAAGCTTCTTAGAGCCAGAAATTTTAAGGCATGATTTAGTG